TGGTACATCGCCGCCAGCTGAGGCGGTGGACCCCTGCCGTGCCACGCCGCCGCCGCCACCGCTGCTGCTTGCGCCGCCGCCGCCGCCGCCGCTGCCTTTTGCTTCCTGCTCCTTCTTAACGCACTCCTTCCAGGCCTGGACCACCGCCACCGCGGCCGCTGAGATGGCCGCTACGCTGTGCTTTGTGAGTTTGTTGACGCGCTTGCCCGCCTCTGTCTCCTTCAGCAGCGCCGCGGTGACTGCGCGCTTCTGCAGCTGCTTGAGCGCGCCGATGGCACGGTCCGTTTCGGCGGCGTCGTCCCCAGCGGATGCAGCGCTGTCGACAGCGGTGCTTATCAATTTTGAAAGGTCCTCTGCCGTGGTTGTGGCCATCTTGGATGCGACGGACGGGTATCAGAGTGTTCAGAACGATCTAGTGTTGAGCGCAAACCATGACACGCCGCTGCATCCTCGCACACCGCAGCGATACTCGGTCACGCGCTCATACCAGAATGTGCTTGTGTGCGCCGGACGCTGAGACCACAGCGCACGATCTCCCGCCTGCTGCGACTGCTGCATGTCTTGTGCTGCCGTCATCATCTACTCACCCACAATTATTGCGGGGCCCTCGTGATTCAATGTCTGGCAGCTGTATCCCTTCCTCTCAACACATTTGCTCCACGTGCAATGAGCATCTCGACGTTGGTCAAATGGTGCACGCTGGCACACGCACGCGCCCGGCCGGGGCCACATGCACCCTGCTCTGCCCTGAATGCTGTACCAGCCTTACGATTGACCATGGAAAGCCTCAGCACTGTACCTACAGGAACCCGAATGGCATGGTTTTAGCGCGTAAAGTGCAGACGCGCCCCTCAGCCAACATCGAGCGCCCGCCTGCGCCGCGAGCCACTCTGGGGAGCTTACAAAACGTGAAGCCATAAAGATGACAGCAGACAGACACGAATAAGATCCACGCTCGGCGCACCGGCAAGTGTGTCGTGTGCTTATACCTCAACACCAAGTGCTCCGCTCGTCCGAGGCCGTCGCTCGCTGGTGCGCGCTGGGGAGAGGGAAGAGCCCCGGCAGTGTGCAGTAGCTGTGTGCAGTACAGACCTGGCACGTGCCGGGCGGGAAAACGGGCTGGAAACCGCGCGGGGTGGCAGCGCAGCAGTGATGCATGCGGCGGGCGCGCACAAACGTGCGGCCGTCCACCCCCTCACTGCGGCCGGCCCCTGGAAGAGCAGCAGACTCGTCAGGCTCTCAGGCTCTCAGGCTCTCAGGCTCTCACAGGCGGCTGGGGCGCGCGTCATAACCCCCAGTCAACAGATTCGCATTGACAGCAGCTATCAAGACCCAACATCACAGGGCGCCTGAAAGCGACGGAGACTGGAATCCAAAAGACCGGGCCGTCAAGAGTGCGGCGGCTTCATAAATGGAGGAGGCACACAAACACACACTCAGTGCCGCTCGCGCAGGGTGAGCGAGGGGGTGGGTGCTGGGGCCGCACACATGTTGATGTCATCAATGGAAAGACAAACTGATTGGTGAGAAAAAAGATACGCCGCCGGTGTGTGTGCCGCGCCGCTCGCCTGGGGATGGGGGTGCTTGGAGGCGGCGAGGAAGGCCGCGGAGGCGTCGCCCCGTCAGCCGCGCCGCGGGGCAACAGCGCGTTCCACAAACACGGGTGGATGCGGTTTGTCAAGAGGCGCTCGCAGGAGCATGCGGCGGCGCGGCGGCGCCGTCGGCCGCTGCAGGGCCCCGCCCCTGGGAGTACATGCGGCCGGGGCAAAGGGGCCCGGCCGCGCTGCATGCCTGGCTCGTTTCAAGAAGTTTGCATGCAGCTGAGGTAAGAGGGTGCGGGGCGCAACGTGAGGCCCACGCGTCATTCGTCAGCTCTGGCCGCCTAGTGCGGCGGGCAAACAGTTTTGAGGTGGCGATTGGAGGGGCGCGTGCCCGACCTCCAACCCCATGCCGCAGACGCAGTGCGACGCTCCGCAATGGGCAGCCCCCCCGGGGCGGCCAACGTGCGGCCCCGGGGTCGTCTGCGCGTAGCGACTCAGCCAAGCCTCTGTGATTGCATGCCTAAGGGATTCGGAAAACCCCGTGTGCAAAGCATCCGCGCCCGCTCCCCAAAGCTCGATGCATCGGATCTGGGGGCGCCGTAATGCCGGACCCCCCAGTCGTGCGCGCACGGGCCGACTCGGGTGGCCCGGCGTGGCGCTGGTGCCCCCACCGCTGCCTGTCGGCAGATGCCCTTTGAATGAGGGCCCTCTCTCACAGTTGCCAGCCCACAAAAGCCCGCGCACGCAATATCGTGGCTGAGTGGTGGGCCGGAACGGCATAGGCATGCTTCATTTGCACTCGCTCTCTCCATCACGTTGTAGTCTCACACTCCAACACTCCCGCTCGCGTGCGCTGTCGCACTCTGCGCTCCCATGCCCCAAACTCAGAGTCGAAGCCAGCAGCCTGCAGGCCAGGGCTACGGCGCCGGGCTGGCGGCCGGCGCAACGCCCTCAGGCGAGCCGACACGATCGCGGTCCACCTCCATCGGCGCCGGCTCAGGCGCCCCCGCCGCGGCAGCGGCGCCGGCGTCTGCCGCAGCCGCCTGCTTGCTCGGCGGGGAAGGCGCCGGCGCGGCCGGCTGCAGCTGCGACGTCGCGTGCCCGTCCTGCTGCTGCTGTTGCTGCTGCTGCTGCTGGAACTTAGTAGTGCTGTGGCCGTTGCCGCCAGAGCCGTGGCCGCCAGACCCGTTGCCACCAGACCCGTTGCCACCTGAGCCGTTGCCACCTGAGCCGTTCTGGCTGCCATTGTGCTGCAGAGACAAAAAGGCAATGGGGAAGGGGGAAGGGTAAGACCTTGCGAGCGGCTCGGCTGCCAGGGCATATTTCCCATGCAACTGGGCTCATGCACTGCAAGCAGTGACCAGGCCCCCCGCAGTCCCTGCTCCCCGCTCTAGTTGCGACCAGCAGTCTTGCACAAAACTCTCGCGTGCAGCGTGAAGAGCTGTAACGCGCCGCGCCGTCCAATCGAATACATGCCCGCCCACTGCAGCCGCGCAGCCCAGCCCCTCACCTGCGGGTTGCTGCCCGCCCCGCTCCGCGGCCCGGTGTTGCCGCCGCCGCTGCCGCTGCCGTTCTTGCTGTCGAAGGCGGCGTTGTTCGACGGCACGCTGGACTGCCGCCGCTTGCCGCCGTCGTCGCCGCTGCTGCCGCCGCCGCCGCCCTGCTGGCCAGAGCCTGCGTCCCCGGAGGCCATCGCTGCGGCCGCGCCGCCGGACAGGTCGGGCGACACTGTCGAGGGCCCGACCGCGCCGCCGGCGGGCGTGCTGCCGCCCGCGCCGCCGCCGCCGTCGCCGCTGCC